AGCGACAAAACAAGCGCAAGTGCTCTACAGTGATGCTGTTCTGCTGCTGCTGCTGCTGTGTTGCTGCAGCTACCACCGCAGTAGCATCTCTCTGTGCACTTATGCAGCACCTCGCTGTCGGCCCCTCCCCCCCCAAACCCCAGCAGCACCACCTCAGCAGCTTCTGCTGCTGGGGGCCCCCCTGGGGGCCCCCAGGGGGCCCCCCAGGGGGGCCCCCTACATCTCGGCCTGCTGCTGCCTGCTGCTCGCAGCCGCCGCCGATGCCGCTGCTGCAGCCGCCACCGCTGCTGCTGCTGCTGCTGCTGCTGCTNGCTGCTGCTGCTGCTGCTGCTGCTGCTTCTGCTGCTGCCACTTGAAGAGGGCTCGTTGGGCTCTCCGCTGCTGCAGCAGCAATTTGTATGTGAGTGGTTCCTTGTGTTGCTGCTGCTGCTGCTGCTGCTGCTGCTGCTGTTGCATCTGTTGTTGCTGCTGCTGCTGTATCTGTTGCGTGTGTGCTTGCTGCTGCACCTGCAGCAGCAGCTGCTGCTGCAGCTGTTGTATTTGTTTACATTTGTGTTTTGCTGCTGCAACTGGGTCTGTGTCTCCTCTGAACTCTAGGTAGTCGTTGTCTTCGTTCCCCAGGCAGCAGCAGCAGCAGCAGCAACCAGCTGTCTCCTTTGCTGCTGCTGTCTCCTCTTGCTGCAGCCACGGCAGCCCCCACTCCTCTCTCTCACTGTATCCTCTGCTGCTGCTGCTCCTGCTGCTGCTCGTGCTGCTGCTGCTGCTGCTGCTGCTGCTGCTGCTGCTGCAGCGCCTGCTGCTCATGCTGCTGCGACTGCTGCTGCTGCTGCAGCGGCTGCTGCTGCTGCTGCTGCTGCTGCCAGCAGATTTTCTCCTTATTCGTGGGGTTCTCTTCTGCTGCGGGTGCCGCCGCTGGGGCCTGCTGCAGCTTCCATTCATCCCACGCTGCTGCTGCTGCTGCTGCTGCTGCTGTTTTCTTTTCTTTTGCTGCTGTTGCCGCTGCAGCAGGGTTTCTCTGCGCATGGTTATGTAGCTGCTGCTGCTGCTGCTGCTGCTGCTGCTGCTGTCTCTGTTTGCTGCCAGCGGTCCCGACAGTCCCCTAGAGGGGAGCAAGCTGCTGATCTTACCCCTTCCTTGCTGCTGCTGCAGCTGCTGCAGCAGCAGCAGCTGCTGCTGCTGCTGCTGCTGCAGCCCTTTATCCTTCATATAACGCTGCGCATACACCCCAGCTGCTGCTGTTTCAGGTGGGGGGAAAGCCCGCCGCATCTGGCTCAGCAGATGCTGCCTGTGTTGCTGCAGCAGGAGCTGCTGCTGCTGCTGCTGCTGCTGCAGCAGCCGGCGCCGCTGCTGCTGCTGCTGCTGCTGCCGGCGCCGCTGCTGCTCCCGCTGCCGCCGTGTTGGGCCCTCGGTGTAGGAGGAGTCTGATGAAGCAGAAGAAGAAGAAGAAGAGAAATCAGTATAAGAAGAAGAAGAGTAAGAAACTGCTGCTGCAGCAGCAGCAGAAGCAGCAGCGACAGCTGTGGAAACCCTGGTGCTCCGTCGCTGCTGCTGCTGCTGTT